TCAGCGGATTTGGGCTGTACTCAGCAAGCGCAGTACAGACCCGAAGTCAGAACAAAAACAAAATCAGAGGAAGACTGTTTTCTGAGCCCTTGGCTACCGCCGACCGGTCGGCCCCGATCGGTCGGTACAATACGGTCGGCGGTCGGCCTGACCGGTCGGCGGGGATGCAACCCTGATGGCCACCCTTCTCCTTCCTCGTCACTGCAGGCCGAGGCTATAGCGGACTACTGAGGCTTCAGCCTCCTGTCCAAAGGACAACCCAAAGCAGCTATGTCGCTGCCGCTTCAAGCAGCTATGCCACTGCTCACTGAACCCCCATGCCTGACTCTACCCCGAGCTTCCCTGTGCGGCACTACCCCAACGGGGCCTTCCAGATGCAGCGCCTAACGAAGTGATGAAGATGGTGTCCACCATAGCCAGGTAGGTACCTCGCCACTCTCCCCTTTGGTCCCCTTCTCCCTCCTCCTCCTACCGGCCGAGCTTCACCATAGCCGAGGTGGAAGCTCCCGGCTGCTTCCTCCCACTAGCGCTGTAGCAGCCAGCGCTCTTCAATACAATGCTCCAACAGCGTGACGCCCAACTCGCACACTGAAGAATGAGGCCGAGCTCTTGCCTCGGCCTCTTGATATAGCAGCCTGCTTGCCTCCTGGGCAGTGACTTCCAGGCCGCTCGGCCTCCCAAGCAACCGGTACCTATTCCCTTTCGGAGGGAAACATCATTGCAGACTCTGATATTGCCCGCACAGGCTCTAGACTCAGACTGGATGGACTGGTACCGGCCTAGACCTAGCCTACCGCTACTGGACCTCTAAAATTGCCAACTTCGTCTTCTTCTGCTCGGCCTTGAGCACCCAGCGCATCTACTGCTACTGGGTGCGGTACCGGCCTACCTGCTACTCGAGTGTTTTTCCGCTGCTCTAAGCACCAAGGCCCCCTGGCTCCGCTACTTGAGTGTTTTCCCTGCTACAACCCTCAATGCCATGGCCACAGGTAAGTACCGGCCCTACGGGCCTGCCAAACAAACAAGTACCCTTGTGGGTCACACACACACACTCATGCCGACATGCACTCAGACAGGCACGCACACATACAGACTTAGAAAACACAGCAGAATGCGGGAATCTCAGCAAGGCATCCATTCCATCGGCAGAACTTCAGAAATCAGCAGTGTTCTCAGTCTGTGTTATGGCGGTCATTACACCATGTTGAAAGGAGCCTTAGCTTGTCATATGTACTGTGGGCAGTGTGGGGAGAGGATCATCTAGTTGTGCAGTATTGTTAACTGTATGGGCTTCTTGTTTACCCTGTCCTTTTGGTGGAATCTCAATACAGTTTGCAGAGTTTCAGGTGCCCCCACAAGATGGTGTCCAAGTACAAGCCTACCGGATGTATTGTTAGAGAGTGGGCTCGGGTGCACTGGGCCGTGTTGATCTTTGTGGTTCCAGCGGTAAGTCACAGGAGTCTTCTCTGTGGGTGCCTGGGTGTCGGGATCTCATGAGCTGATTCGTGCTTACTTCTGCTGCTCTGACAGTTCTCGCCGGTTAACTTTTTTTTTGAGTCCGTTGGCATGAAGAATTTTTCATACGAAAAGATCAAGGATGACAAAGTCGAGGGCGGTTCTTTATATGGCAGTTCTTGTGATTCCTAATGTTGTAATGCATCTCGGCAATCATGAATAGTGCAACCTATTCAATGTGACATGATCATGATCACTTTTCTCCTATCTATGGCAAGGTTCATGTTCTTGTGGTTCCTAACACATCGTGATGGTTAGGGGTTTTGAATCTGTTTCTGGCTCTGAATGTCCCATTCCTGGCCTAGATCTTGGCTTAGCATGTGTTATCTAACCTCTGTGCTCTTGTGTTCGTCATTTGATCCCTCCTCTTCATTACAATTGTGGTGGTGCTTCCATTTGCTACTATTTCGTGAAAAGGTGTTCGTTTTTCCCAAAGCGCAAGGTTCAGAAGTCCCCAGTGTGGTTTGTGAGGTTCAATGTGTGGCAGATTCAATGGTTGCCATTCCAATACGTTTGTATTATCCATTCTCTCGGCTTCGTTATTGGATGTGATGGATGATGGTCCTTTTCGGAGTTCGCAGAGTTCCAAGTCTCCTAAGGAACTCGGGATTTGTGTGCCCCTTCACACCTCCAGACAAATTTCGAATACGTACTAAATGAGCAAGCTTCAGGGTAATCTCTACCACCTGAGAATCTACCTGCATAATGTGGATATCTATGTGACGAGGTTGAGGCAGAGCAGCGAGGCTGGGAGAGAGAGGGAGAGTGAGAGCACACACACACGCTCACTCAACTCGACACAGACTCGACACGACTCGACGGACACACACACAAAGTGGCAAAAGTCGCAAAGTCGCTGTCTTGAATTCGCGAACACAATGTCGAAGCAAAGTCACACTGAACACACGCACTGCGGCTGAAAACTTCGTGCCTGTACTGGGCTTGAGTCCGTACATAAGTACCGGACTCAAGTACGATCCTGAGGGCGAAAGCGAAAATGCTTCAGGGCCAGAACTGAAAATCGAAAGTCTGAGAGTGGGCGCCAGATGGTCGGATGGCGCGTGTCCGAAATCCGAAAGTCCCAAAAGAAGGAATTTGAAAACGGGCGCCAGAATGCAGATGGCGCCAACTGTCCGAAGTCAGAAAAGCAAGAATCAAAAGCAAAAAGAATTGTAAAACAAAAAAAGGAGTAAGCTGGCGGGTGGTAACCCGCAGACCAGGGATCGAGCCCTGGCGGAGTCCGTAAGAATCTAGGCATATTATCTGCACCATGATGGATCATGTCATATTGGTTTGCTAAAGCAACCCTTCTCCACCTGTCCTCGACTTTCAATGCGATTCCTGATTTGTGTACCTTTTCACACCCCCAGACAAATTTGGAATACGTACTAAATGAGCAAGCTTCAGGGGAATCTCTACTACTGAGAATGTACCTGCATGATATGGATATCTAGGCATATTATCTGCACCTGAATGGAATAGACATTCAAGGTCATCAGTAAACTTGTGGCGGTGGGTTGCCCTTATCCTGCAAATGTGTGGCTTGTCAAATTTGTTTTTCTTCCCACTCTGCATAGCCAATCGGCCTGCTTCCGTTTAATCCCACTTTTGGATGAGGTCAAAGGTCAAAACAGTTAAGTGTCAGTTTTTAAGGACGGATGTGGATGGTTGCAGGTTGTTGCCTGTGGATTGTGTACATGGCAGGCAGTTAAACGCAGGCGAATGATTGGTAGAGCAGCGTGCGTTTATGAGCAGGTACGATATATTTCAATAGGAGTCTTCAAAATTCCCGAGGGGGAAGTCCAAAAAGTGAAACATGCAACTGTCATTGGCAAGGGTGCAATCATGCAGGCTCCTTCTTCCCCCGTTCCCCCTCCACCCCCCCCTTCCTTTCCTCCCGTTATTTCATGGTAGAAATCTTGGTTGCATCTACCGCATCAGTTATGAACTCCAAATATGTGGAGAATGGGTCTGCCTGCCTGTGGTGCGCAAGTCTATTTTTCTTAGTATGCCTTTGATTCTACATGGGTGTTTGAGGGGATGATTGGCCGTTCCCACAGAAGGCATGCAATCTATCTGTGGGGAGCTAGCAGTTGTTCACAGCTGGAAGTGTACCCCAACCTTGATAGGAAAAAATACGTTCTGTTATGATCCTACTACATTCAGAATGCAAAATTCAAATGTGAGAAAATGCAGGACTTGCTGATCTCAAAAGAAGAAAGAGCATAATATAACGAAGAGAATAGAAGAAGATGAAATACACAAGTTGATACCAATGTCTTTTCCCTCACTTCTTTTTTTCATCTTCTTCTTCCTTCCTCACCCTCTTCTAATAGTAATCAATTAAATAGTACAGCAAATGAATGAATGAACAGGAATCATCCCTCGTTATCCCCCGTTACAGCCAGCACTCAAAGAACCCTCCTTTCAGCCATAACCTCACTTCTCTTTTCTTGGCTGCATTTCTAACTATGGCAGTTCATCCATGTTCATCATGGATGTTCAAAGGACAACGCCACTATTATTATGCCTTTTCCATCTCACCTCACCGTAGCCACACTCTCTGATGAAGTCCAAGGCCAGCCGGTACGCACATAGGGCTCAATGCAGCGCCAACCAATGAAGTGGAGATGAAGGACCACCATAGCCAAAGATGAGCCTCTCATGTCGATTCCGCCCTCTCTCTCTCCCCTTCTCATCCTGTGCACCCTTCTTCCACCCTTCTCCATAGCCTGCCATGAGGTGCTTTACCCTCTACCTCCATAGCTTAGGTGTGGCATACTGCGTAGCCACACGGGCCCTGCAGGGCCCGTCCCGGACATTCAGCCTAAAAGCCTAAAACTTAGGGCTTACAGGCCCCGTTCGTGTCAGCCTGGAAGCTGAAAAACGAGGGCCTGCAGGCCCTACCCCGTTTCAGCCTATTTCTGGGTCTTTTCAGACCCAGAGTTTTCAGCCTGAAACGGAGGGCTTTTTTCAGGCCCTCATTGTTTCGACCTGCCCCTAAGACTCAGGCACGTAAACAGGGATGCGGAACAGGCCAGAAATAGCCTGTTCCTCACGAGTTTGAGCAGGAGCTGCAGCTGCAGCCCCTGCCTCCCTTCGGCAGGCTCAGGAGGCACACCCGTAGTACATAGGAAGTTCSCATGCACTTCAYGGGTAGGTAGTGTCAGTAGGCAKKGGTAGTCTTCAGGATTTCGGCCGCAGCACTCAGGAGGAGCGCTGCAGTAGTCTTCAGCGCTAGTAGTAGTAGCGCTAGCTGTAGTCTTCGGCGCTGGGCGTCATAGCTGTAGCTGTAGTCTTCAGCGCTGGGCGCTGGTAGGTGGTAGATCGT